TTGATAAGGAAAATTATCATAGAATTACAAGATTATAATGCTTCAAAGTTACTAATAGGCATGAAGATTAAATGTATAATCAGAGTTTAGAAGCAATACTTAAACTTAGAAAAAATATTGGTTCGCAAAATGTATGCCAAATCATATTGAAATGAACTAATTATTTTATTATTTTATTATTTTTATAGAGGCAAAGGAGATTCTGATACATTAACTTACATAAATATTTCCATATTTTTCCCCTTTTACTTACACTTCCTCCTTTCAACCCACCTTCAAGCACTTCGTTACACCCGAAATGAAACATAAAATAGATCAACTAAAATAATTTAGATGCCATATTAGGCATATGGTCTATAATTTATTGTAATGATTAGAGATGTTCATATATAATAAGTAACCATCAAGGTATCTACATTAATACATATACAACTGAAGTCAAACATAAAACATTTACATCGAGTGTTTATAGAAACACATAAATTTATATAAAATTAGGAAGTTTATTACATAAACTTGATTCAACTACAGAAAAACTGAAACACCAATATAAGATTTGAAAAGAAAAATGAAAACCATACAAGCCACAAGGGCAGTACTTATATACAATTACACTATTATGTAGTGATTAAAATTAGCACCAATGCAATAATCCCAACTACAATGGAGTCCTCTACTTATTTTCTATGCTTATATATAATACTACGTAGTATCATACAAGGTACCACAAAACTGGCTTAAATGTAAACCTTAGGTTGAACATTAACAAGAGAGATTGACTAATAACTCCTATGGGCACAGATGCACATATTTGCCATAAGTTTTTGGCATAGTTGACAAAAATGCATTTTAACACACTAGGCATCATCCAGGCTTGAGAAGGAGCGTGCGTGTGAGAAAGCCGGACTGATCTAGAAGAATTCAAACGGTGAGAGTGAGCTACAGTGTGCGTGTATATATTTATATACGGAGTAGTTAGAGACCTAGGTTTGGGCTCAATCGAGCCAGGGCGGTAAATGGGCCGAAGAATATTATGTTCCGGATCACAAGTGCGGAGGAGTATATTGAGACTACATAAAAATTAATATTCATATACTCTTTTTTTAACGGTATTCATATACTCTTCTAAAAAATAAAACAAGATAAAAATAATATTAATGAATTGAGTGAAAATATTAATATTATAAAAAGACGGAGTTATAGTCATTTGATTAGGATTAATTATAACTAGTTTTTCTTACCCGTGCCGTGCACGGGATAAAATACATTTTTATATATATCTAAAGAGAGTGGATGACTGAATAAAGATGTAGACATTGTAGCTCAATTTATATTTGATAGTTCGTCATCTGATCAAAGGATTGAACAATGACATCATCTTTTCAATCCTTACTAAACTTTCGTCATTATAAAAGGCTTAATAGACTTAATGAGAATATTTTGTACGTCTTTATTTACTGTTTTCATTTTTGCATTTTACCATCTCAAATTGTACGCTTTCATTTTTATCCCCATGTAAATATCTTCTTGTTACTTATAATACTTAATAAATGACGATCACGAGTCTGCACTTGCCGCATTTATTTTGATGATTTACCTTTTGGATTTATAAAAAGTTTTGTGGTCCTTAGATTTCAATAGTGGTGACGCGACGATAATAGATTGCATGGAAACAACGGTGAGTCTTCGGGCAACAATAATGATGTTTAGTTTATCTTTATTAGATATATATAGTGGGCATTATGATCTTATTAGATACTCTCCCTTTTCTAAAAAGGTTTGTCAAATTGACATTTTTTCAAAGTTTATCAATTTTGATCAATGACTATTCTAATATGAAATTATTTTGAATGAAAATTATAGTAATGTTTTTGTTTTATTTTTTGTTTTGATAATGTTAAAAATGTTTATCTATTTTTACACTTATATTGATTTTATATTATTATTATTATTACAATATTTTTCAAATTTATAAGATTTTTTATAAGATTAAGCAATCGTTTGATTTACTTTTTTTTAAAATAACCTTACATATAACAATTATAATCACTTGATTGACGCTATTTTTAAAGTAAACATATTTATATGATACTTTTCTAATTTACATATAACAATTATAATAACTTGATTTGAAATCTTTGTATTTTTGCTTTGATTATCGCGAGGGATGTTTAAGGCATAGTTTTTTTTGAATAATTACTTAATAATATTCATATTGTATTTCAAGTTATTCAAAACATGCATACATTGAGAGTTTTTCATAATTGAAAAAAAATGCTAAAGACAATATGTCAAGTGAAAACTTTCAGAAGATTTTACTTTTTTTTTATCAGTCAACTTTTTAATAAACACGTAACTTTTGATTCTTCTCATTAAATTATGTAATAATTGGAACTATTTTTCAAAATTGATTTTACAAATAGATGAAAGATAAATTATATAAAATAGGTAAAGTGATCTTCTATAATAACTTCAGTCAATTCGGTAGAAAAAGTAAATCGAACCTTACATATGTATTTTAATTATTACACAATTAAGCGTGAAAAAACAAAAGTTTTGTGTTTACAAAAATTTAAGAGCCCATTTGATAACCAATATTTTCAGCTTATCAAATCTTATTAGACAACCTTTTCATAAACATGTAACTTTTGAATTTTCATGCTAGATTGGTTGCTTTCACAATTAAATATACTTAATGTCATTTAGATTGTGCTTAATATTTTTATTTGCGTTTTTCTTTATGTTACACTTGAAAGACTCTTATATGCACAAATTCATTTTTTACTTCATCATTTATTTGGTTGGAGCAGCAAATATGGCATCAATAAAGTTAATTGAATCACATCATTGCTAATGTCCAAAAATGTTACGCAGTATTTTTACATGAATGCCAGGTGCTATGACTATTGAATTAGATATCAACATCTTTTTCGGTAACTCACACTCTTTAGATGTCATAATAAAATACTATTCTTACATTCTACGTAGTATAATAAAAATAAAAAAATAAAAATATCTTTTACCTGGGTAAAAAATAAGACTGTGTGTGCTAACATTTGCTAAATACACATTTGTCTGATCTACGAAAGTAAAAGTTATATTTACTTTAGTGTATATGTTAAATATCAACATAAATCTTGATATATTTTGTCGTGAGTTTCAGATCCGTAAAAGCTTTATTAATTACATATATAGGAATCATATCGTAATTCTGAAAGTGGCGTTTAAGAGCTAGATAAATAAGCTAGACTGTGTATAAAGAGTAATTATTTTACCCATGGATGTAACATTAATATAGTATTATTCGGTCATAAAATTTAAATCATTTTTCTTTTCTAAATATGGGACATAGTTTGATATGCTTATGTTTCAATTATTATTTGCCACTTGATGTGAGGATCTTTTTATAGATTAAATTCAACTAATCTTCTTCGTTCAATAACACTTATTTTAAATCAATCTAACGGAAACTAAATCCACCATCACCATTCGCGTTTTGCAACCGGCCTGTTGTGACCGCCATGACCTTCATTGAAATAAGAATGTCACAAAATTATATATTCCGAGCTTGTTTCTTAAAGATTGAGTTAGGACTAATTTGCTCAATTCTAAATCTTAGAAGAGCTAATATCTTCAAACAAACGACCACATCCATTATTAAATAAATAAATTACAACAATGTGTGGTTATTAGTTTAAAAAAACAATAAGCTACAAATGAATAGCCCGTTAGGTGACCCTATTTTTCGGCTTATCAGGATTATGAGTTAATATAACTTTTTTCACTAAACACGTAACTTTTGATTACGCACGCTGAATTGTGTAAGAATAAGAAAAGGTAAAGTTGATGAAATTATTTTTTGGATGTATTGGCTGAAGTTACTGTAGATGATCATTTTAGCGGGTTTTTCATATAATTTTTTCTTTATTTTATTAATAAAATATATTTTAAATATTATTTTTTTCATAAATTAGCAGAATCAGCCAATCCATACTTAACAAATAAGACATACTTAACAAATAAAAATATGCATTATCATCCAACGTTATAATCGACTAAATAGGTGATTTTCTGTTGGTTATAATAACTCATACATATGTCGCTGCGCGTGCACAAATATATAGTATAACTAAAACTAAATCATTTTATTAGTCAGTTGTATTAACTTGCACATAGGGCAATCCTAGAAAAAAGTTAAGTGCACATGTGATAATTTCTCTTTTTAGCTTATTTGTTTAACTGTCAATTTTTTAATAAACTCGTAATTTTTAATTCTTCTCACTGAATTATGGAATAATAGATGTACTAAAAACTATATAGATGAGAAAAATTATACATAGTATAAAATAGATAATATGATATTCTACAATAACTTTAGTCAATTAAGTAAAAAAAAGTAAATCTAACCTTTTATATATATTTTGATTATTACACAATTAAGCTTGAAGAATCAAAAGTAACGTGTTTATACAAATTTAAAAGCCTCTTTGACAACCTCTCTTTTCAGCTTATCTATCTTATCAAACAACTTTTTTACAAACATGTAACTTTCCATCCTCCATGTTGATTTGGATAACAATCAAAATATATAAAATTAGATTTATCTTTTTGACTGAATTGACTGAAGTTATTGTAGAAGATTATTTTAATTTTTTTATATAATTTTTCTTTAATCTATTAGTATAATTTTTCTCTAATCTATTAGCAATTACATATTGGAGGATATGTGTTTGATTGTAATTGCATTTGAGTGCCATTATTTTTGCATCCATAAAATCCAAGTAAAATTTTATAGAAAAGGGTTGCAATAGCAATCTTATATATCGGAGTATTTATTTATGAAATTGTTATGGGACCAATTGATTTTACTCTAGGAGTCTAGGCAATTTAAAAATCTATGTTTGATGAGGAGAATGACCGTGAGAAAATATGGCTTTTGAGTAAATTGCTCTAAATTTGACACATGACAAAATTTTCCGTAATTGTATCTCTCAAATGTATTAATGTATTATGTATAGATAGATAAATTTTTATATACTCAATATTGGTGTCATATGAAAGTGTTGAGTTTAATCCAACACGATATAGTAAATATATGTATAAATGTGTATGAACAACTCAGTTTTTACGTGGAAACCCGAAAGGGAGAAAACCACGGGACTTTTTCGGCTAATGTCCAAGCCCTCTCTTTCTCATTAGGACTCTCCTCACAATTACATTGTACAAGCTCCCATTAATGGAGTATTGAGCTAAGTCTAAAAGAAGGAGGAAGATGAAGCTAAAAGAGGATCCCCAAAACATGGAGGGAAGCCTCCTATTTATAGGGGAAAGGGGAAGGGTGCTCTCCACCCTAATGGGCCAAACGGGCCGATGCCGGGCCTAATGGCCAAAGTGGGCCAGAATGGGCCGAAATGGACCTAGCTGCTCGGGCTCCTGAACAGTAATAGGCCGGGGTAATATATCCCAACACAAGTCCCCTAGTTTCTTGAGTAGTGAGCGTGCGAATCTGCTCGAGAAAGTATACTCTTGCCTGCGCTCCTCCTCTGTCTTGCTGGAAACTGTGTCTTCGAATAATCATAATATACGAGTGAGTGTCTGCACTCCTGAACGTAATCTGCCGGTGAGGCACCCCCCTTCCCGACGGGGTTGGGCGAAGGGTGCTCCTCTACGGGCACGCTCCCCCTGAATGCATCAGGCGAGAGTAGAGGACCCTGACTCGAGCTTTCCAATCGGAGGAGCTTAGAGGTCCATGCATCTACAAACCGACGTCGCGGTACTGTCAAAACATGGTGCACGTGTGTATGTATGAATGTATGAGGTATGATGCATGAATGCATGAATGCATGTAATGTATGAGTGCAATGTATGAGAGAAGGAATGTGAGATGTGATAGAAAGCGGTGGCTCTCATCGATAAACCGGGCATGTCAGCGCCGAGGGGCAGACGTGCTGCATAAGAGACGTTCGTCGCCATCCTGAAAGGGATGGGCGACCCTAACGTGAGCCAGATACGATGGCGCTGGGGCGCTGATCGTGCTGCATAAGAGACGTTCGTCGCCATCCTGGAAGGGATGGGCGACCCTAACGTGAACCAGACACGATGGCGCTGGGGCGCTGATCGTGCTGTATAAGAGACGCTCGTCGCCATCCTGAAAGGGGTGGACGACCCTAACGTGAGCCAGACACGATGGCGCAGGGACGCTGATCGTGCTGCATAAAGACGTTCGTCGCCATCCTGAAAGGGATGGGCGACCCTAACGTGAGCCAGACACGATGGCGCTGGGACGCTGATCGTGCTGCATATGAGACGTTCGTCGCCATCCTGAAAGGGATGGGCGACCCTAACGTGAGCCAGACACGATGGCGCTGGGGCGCTGATCGTGCTGCATAAAGACGTTCGTCGCCATCCTGAAAGGGGTGGGCGACCCTAACGTGAGCCAGACACGATGGCGCTGGGATGCTGATCGTGCTGCATAAAGACGTTCGTCGCCATCCTGGAGGGAATGGGCGAGCCGAACCGTGAAGCCAGGTACGATGGCGCTGAGGGGCCGATCGTACGGCATAAGACGTTCGTCGCCATCCTGGAGGGAATGGGGCGATCCGAACGTGAAAGAGACACGATGGCGCTGAGAAGCCGATCGTGATGCATAAGACGGTCGTCGCCATCCTGGAGGGAATGGGCGAGCCGAACCGTGAATCCAGGTACGATGGCGCTGAGGGGCCGATCGTACGGCATAAGACGTTCGTCGCCATCCTGGAGGGAATGGGGCGATCCGAACGTGAAAGAGACACGATGGCGCTGAGAGGCCGATCGTGATGCATAAGACGGTCGTCGCCATCCTGGAGGGAATGGGCGAGCCGAACCGTGAAGCCAGGTACGATGGCGCTGAGGGGCCGATCGTACGGCATAAGACGTTCGTCGCCATCCTGGAGGGAATGGGGCGATCCGAACGTGAAAGAGACACGATGGCGCTGGTACGCTGATCGTGATGCATAAGACGGTCGTCGCCATCCTGGAGGGAATGGGCAAGCCGAACCGTGAAGCCAGGTACGATGGCGCTGAGGGGCCGATCGTACGGCATAAGACGTTCGTCGCCATCGTGGAGGGAATGGGGCGATCCGAACGTGAAAGAGACACGATGGCGCTGAGAGGCCGATCGTGATGCATAAGACGGTCGTCGCCATCCTGGAGGGAATGGGCGAGCCGAACCGTGAAGCCAGGTACGATGGCGCTGAGGGGCCGATCGTACGGCATAAGACGTTCGTCGCCATCCTGGAGGGAATGGGGCGATCCGAACGTGAAAGAGACACGATGGCGCTGAGAGGCCGATCGTGATGCATAAGACGGTCGTCGCCATCCTGGAGGGAATGGGCGAGCCGAACCGTGAAGCCAGGTACGATGGCGCTGAGGGGCCGATCGTACGGCATAAGACGTTCGTCGCCATCCTGGAGGGAATGGGGCGATCCGAACGTGAAAGAGACACGATGGCGCTGAGAAGCCGATCGTGATGCATAAGACGGTCGTCGCCATCCTGGAGGGAATGGGCGAGCCGAACCGTGAAGCCAGGTACGATGGCGCTGAGGGGCCGATCGCACTGCATAAGACGGTCGTCGCCATCCTGGAGGAAATGGGCGAGCCGAACCGTGAAGCCAGGTACGATGGCGCTGAGGGGCCGATCGTACCGCATAAGACGTTCGTCGCCATCCTGGAAGAGATGCGCGATCCGAACGTGAAAGAGACACGACGGCGCTGAGAAGCCGATCGTGCTGTATAAGACGGTCGTCGCCATCCTGGAGGGAATGGGCAAGACGAACCGTGAGTCTGGACACGATGGCGCTGAGGGGCCGATCGTGATACAGAAAAATAGTGATGATCATCTCATGGCCCTCGGCCTGTCGGTGAGTGGTAATCGTCTCACGGCCCTCGGCCGTGCTGGTGATGTGTCAAGTCTCTCTCCTGATTGGCTGTGAGAAGCCGATCGTCTGCCAGGACTCCATCCGGGAAGGAATGGTGAGCCTGAAATAAATCTGGGCGATGTCCCTTCTACCTGATCTGGGGGGCTAATCGTCGTTCGAGGCAAAAGAAAACCTGATGTTAGCCGATCGTCGTCGGCCACTTCATTCTTCGTACCTAAGTTTTGTAATTATTCTTTACATATGTTTTCCAGTTTGTACTTCCCGGCCAATAGCGCCGAGGGATAAAATCGTTCTTTGCTCCGTGCTCTTCTGGCATCTTTTTTTTTTTTTTTTTTTTTTTTTTTTTTTTTTGGAGTCTTTTAATCTTCGTTCGTCATTGGTCCTTGGTCCTACCGGCGTTCTTACATCGAAGATACGTTCGGTATCCGCGGACATCGCAATGAGGAACAGGTATATCTACATCGAGATTCCCCCTTTTTCGTTCGTCCCTGGTCCTTTTAGTCTTACCGGCGTCTCTTGCATCGAAGAAGACGTTCGGTACCCAAGGAACTCGCAGGGACGAACTGGTTTACCCTCACGGGTTCCCGTCTTTGTTATCCCACGTCCATCGATCCATGGTCATTGTGGGATGAACAGGTTTATCTTGGCAAGGCTCCCTTGGTTCGTCTAGCCCCCTCCGCGTCTCTACTAACCTCTACATCGAGAGGCGTTCGTCTTCGGCGGTGGGAGAAGATCTGGCACACCCGGGCAAGATTCCCTTCCACATAGGAGCTACCCTCCTCCTCTCCCCATCTTTTTTTTTTTTTTTTTTTTTTTGTTTGAGGGAGGCAATCTATACTCTTCGTTCGTCATTGGTCCTTGGTCCTACCGGCGTCCCTACTTCGAGGAGACGTTCGGTATCCGCGGACATCTCAATGAGGAACAGGTTTATCTGCATCGAGATTCCCTGGTGCTTCGTTCGTCCCTGGTCCTTGGTCCTACCGGCGTCCTTACATCGAGGAGACGTTCGGTATCCGCAGACATCGCAAGGAGGAACAGGTTTATCTGCATCGAGATTCCCTGGTGCTTCGTTCGTCCCTGGTCCTTGGTCCTACCGGCGTCCTTACATCGAGGAGACGTTCGGTATCCGCAGACATCGCAAGGAGGAACAGGTTTATCTGCATCGAGATTCCCTGGTGCTTCGTTCGTCCGTCCCTGGTCCGTGGT